ACACACACACACACACACACACACACACACACACACACACACACACACACATACACACACACATACACACACACAGCCCCACACATGGTGTGTGCGTGTGTTGTCATGTTAGCTATGCACAACTCCCCAAAAACAAGCATAACTGTTACAGACTGTTTCGTTGGACTTCAGCTACTTACCAGCGGGTTGCACCCTGAGTCCCTGACAATCTTCCCAGATGCATTTGCAAGCATGCGTGTGTGTGTGTTTGAGTGTGCATATGTGCATGCATGCATGCCCGTATCTGTGTGAGTGCATGTTGTCTTATCTTGGTCGCTATACACCACTCCACAAAAGAAGTACAACTGTGCCGCCAGACATGTTTGTTGCTGTGCCGTCAAAGATCTTGGCGGACGGGAACCAGTTTTTCCTTGGGCCTGGCGGACCCTATCTTCAGGGGACCGCTCCAGACATTCCTTTGGGCTGTTAAATTTTAGTTTGGGCTGTTGGCCCAGTAGTAACGGGATGGTGGCTGGAATAGTCACACGATCTTAAAATCTTAAGATCGCATGACATTCCTCGCCATGGCCCGGTATCATCGCACTATCTTCAAATTTTGAGAAACGACCAGGGCCATCGGCCCGGTAGGACCAAGCACAGCGCGGTGGGACCACGAACGGCCGGATCTGACCACGGATGGCCTGGTAGGACCGTGGACAGCCTGGATGGCAGATTCTCACATTAGCGATTTGTAGAGTGTGGGAATAACGAAGAGTATATTTACTATATTCAGCAATACAACAACCGTAATTTTACGGTGTTGTGACATTATGAGATCACAAGGCAAAGTTTGATCACTCGGTCATTTGGGAGTAGCCAGAGTCAGCGAACCTCGCTTAAAGACCATTGTCTATATCAACATACAAAGGAGGCTAAGGCGGTGCATAGGGTTAAGTTACCCTTGTTGTCCCACTCAACGTCAGTGACAAGATCGTGTGCACTGCTGAGAGCAGTCCACAACCACGAGTCTGATTAGCACACACGACTGGAGTACTACCATCTTCCTCCGGACACAACACACCCTTATCATGCCCGTATGAGGCCGGACAACCAACTTGCATACATCAAAGATCAGGGTGCATTGCATTCGGGGGAAGATCGTAGCGCAAGATACATCACAAATATACAATGATGCTCCTTTTCATATCCTGTGAGCTAGACTATGTACACAAGGGATGCACAAGACATCTCCACCGCCGGCCCTCACATTGACAGAAGCCTGCGGTGGTATACGCACTGGCCAAGGATCAGCCCACTGACTGTTGGGGGAATGGCAGGGCGATTTGAGTGTTGACAGTCTCATCAATTGTGATGAAAAAGTCTGAAAAAACTCAGGATCATAGGTTGACTGCAGAGCTGCAGATCAGGACAGCAGTACAGGAAAGAGGAAAAAAAAAAAAAAAAAAAAAAAAAAAAAACGGGATGCCAGGAAAAAGAAGCCTGGCAGGAAAGTACGCAAAAACATTCCCCTAAAGGCTGTAACCTGGTAGGCCCAAGCCGACAGGCTCAGTGCTCCACGGTCGGGGGAAACCCAACAGGTTCAGCAAAATAACTTCCGGCCGTGGTGGTTTAATAAATCTATCTACAAGTAAACCCTATATTAGTGTGCATAGTGCCATATAAGAGAGCAACCACTTCCAGAGCACGCTCAGCCACGATGAGGTATAATTGCGACGTTTCTTTCCCCCCCCCCCTCGATTTATGCGTGTCATCCTTGCATACGGGCCATGCTGATCTTCTCTATATCGCAAAATTTTGACGGAAGTCTTTTTGCCACTCTGCATCATTGGCAAATTGTACAAGAGGTTGAAGGAAGTCTGATTCACATACAAGATGTTCAACAAATAGTCTCGTCAAACAGAACTGCCTGGTAAACCATCGGCAGAGAGGGAGAAGAGGACAACAAACGAGGGGCTGTGAGAAACTGTTTCGTCGGAGTTTCACCGACTCATCAGGAGGCTGAACCCTCATCAGTCTCCTGAAACCCCCAACTGATTACACTGTAAGTTATAATCCACCTTAACCCCGGGTGTGGTTTAAGCATCAACGACTGCCCGACAACTGATACCCTGAGGTGGGCACCAACCACTGCCCTCAAGGTACCTATGACGAAAATCGAAGTAGACTATCACTCACCCACACCAGATGGAATCTATCGGTGATCCAAAGTCCAATAATATGAACATAAAGAAAAGGTGAAAATGTACCCACCTCACTCGATGTCGATTGCATGCAAGGGCAAATGTCAGGATACCATTCACAATTCCTCGGATTGCATAAAACACCTGCAAGGAAGCATTGTTACATCGGCAGGACACATACAGAGACCAAAATTAATTATTATTTTTTAAGCGATACTCCACCTAGAGACCAAAATTAGTTATTATTTTTTAAGCGATACTCCAATCACCATGTCTACTACTTCACCAATTGTACTCAAAAGGCTGAGATCCAGACTTGCTGCTCCAGAAGGGATCCAAATCACTACCGGTCAATTCCAATAGATTTCCTTATCACTCACTAAAGTAAGGTACCTTGCTTGCTTCTGTGCTGTTAGACGCATCATGGATTCACATTGCCAGACGTCGCACACAGCATTTGCAGTCAAATTATCAGCATTCGAAATTGAGCATAAGAAGGCAGTGACCACGACTGGATTGACATGATAGCCAGTGGTAAGAGAAGAGCAGATGACAAAGGAACACATGTAACTGGATGATATACACATGTAACGGTTCATAAAGCCACAAGTTCAGATCCTCATGGAATCAGAGGCGATAAGGTTGGGGAAAAGGCTTGGCCGAAGCTTGATTGATTTTTTGTCAAATTCATTCTTGGTCAATCTTTTTCACAGCGGACAACCAAGCGGGCTAGCTCAGTTGGTTGAGCACGTAAGCCCAAGTGGGCTAGCTCAGTTACGTACGTGGCATTCAGGAGGTCGTGGGTTCGATCCCCCACGTCGCCCATTCAATCCCACACGGCCCCCTGTGATGCCCTTCGGGTTCACCAGCAGAGATATTTGGCTTGGGCCTCCTGGCTGGTTGTGGAAGTTGTGTGGCTTTCCAGCTCATGCCAGGTGTTAGGAGGCGGGGTTATGCTCCCCGCATAGAGCAGAATAGGATGCGAAGGCTGGCAACTCAACCCATAACCTTGAGCATCCCCTGGCAAAAGTGGACATATATGTAGGTAGGCAGGTAGAGTGAAGAATGTAGAGCAGTAGTTCAAAAAAAAAAAAAAAAAAAAGGCGTACACTGCAGTTTTTCCTTTCTTATTCTACAGCAAGGCCCAAGCAATGGGAACACCATATCTCAACCCGCTGGGAGCAATGAACACATGCAGACAGATGCTCCAGCACCCACAGTGAGTTTTTCACCACCCGCAAAAATCCCTCATTCACGGTACTACTCTGTAGAGACTGTACACTTCCAATTACTTTCCTTGCTTCCTTCTGATTGTGTTTGCTTTTCTTCTCGAGCAGGAGCAGAACAACACCAGCAGTCACATTGCCAGATATTGCCAATTCAAATCCAACAGACAACATTGCATCTGCATGTAGCATCACCTATGGTTCCCCACAAGGCAGACCAACTGCCCGTCGCTGGATCCCCTGCCAGTGCCCTTCTTTTATTACTTCGTTTCCTTTACTTTCTCCTTTCCCACTCCCTCTTTTCTGCTTGTCTGTGCTCTTCTCATAAAGAAGGAATGGAATGCCCCTCCTAACGTAGCATTGCCAGAGAACGCCGATTCATGCTTGGCGAGCAGTGTCTCACGTTGGCATGTAGTAGCACACACGCCCGTGGCTCATCCCGCACCGGAAGGTCGGATACAAAAAGAGCTTCACTCAGAGGCGTATCTGGAACATAGATAGAGAATTTTATGCACATCTGGGACTGTTTTTCAAAGAACCAAACATCAAAGCAGTTTTCCTACCTTGGAAAATATCTCCTGGTAGAGACTACGCCATGTGGACGGGCTGGCCGTTGCAACAACTTTGGCCTCGCTTAATCCAGCTGATATGCGTCGGAACGACATGGCCATCCTAGACAGCGTGCCAATCATGGAGAAGATTAACCTCACTCCCTCAAAGATGCCCACTGATAATGCCACCAGAATATCCACTAAGCAGGATACAAGTGTGAATGGCAATGAAATGACTGCCCACACAGCAGCAAACAATGGGTAGACCAGCGCCTCAACTGCAAAACCACCACGGACAAAGCCCACAAAGCTGTTGTCAGAAAGCGCGGTTGAAGACACCACCACGACTTCGTCCATCACCGAGCAGGTAAAACAGGCACCTAGTACTCAATGTGCAGTGCTCGAACACGCATCAACAGCCACTGCATCCCTCGATGGCAGATTTTCCGTAAAACACAGAGGGAAAACAAACGAGATAGCAATCACTTTCTGAAATCTGATGGTCCTTGGTAGACAACCAGTCAATTGCCCTCCCTCATTCCTTTTTCTGAATAGACAAGGTAGTTGCATATGACAGATAGCAATGCTCGAACACACATCAACAGCAACTGCATCCCTCAATGGCAGATTTTCTGAAAATCACAGAGGGAAAGAACACAAACAAGCAGGCATGCACTTTCTGAAATCTGATGGTCCTTGGTAGACAACCAGTCAATTCCCCTCCCTCATCCTTTTTCTGAACAGACAAGGTAGTGGCATACGACAGAAGGCAGAGGGAAGGAACTTCGACACACTGCAAGCAGCCACCTCCACTGGATGCCACCCAGGCCCAACCTTGGAAATCATGACCAGTTTACTCACCGCAGTACCAGAGTAGTCTCACGGCATCGAAGAGCGGCACAAAGAAACCCATCAGTATCCACTCTAAAACAGTCTTCACTGCACAGATCGTCGACCAGCCAAGACCAAATACATCCAGGCAAAACTCCACCAACATGTTCCACACTGGAAGGAGCATGATCTCACTTAGGAGCCATATTGGTCGTTCCAGAGGCTTCAGCAAAAATTCTGTCACTTCCATAAGACCCCTTGACAAAGTCATAATCCACCTGAAGGCCTTCTGGCAGTTCTGCAGGAACAGCATTGTCCCCAGGTACTTGAGTCGAGAACCCACTTCCCACGCATCCACCCACTCCACTAAGGGGCCAAATACACGGTGTAAGGCCTCCTTCAGCACTGGCACGTTCTTGTAAAGATCATAGAATCCAATCAACACAGTCGTCAGCGAAATCAGAAAGAATATGTACACCGACAGTGCGCGCATCCATGGTCGGTACAGGTTGCGTGTCAACGGATAGGATTGGCAAAAGATCGCCCACGATGGAAGACCAGATTCAAGCATCTTTAACCTCTTCTGGTCATGAGTGATCATTTGCTGCAATTCCACAGGCAGCAGAGGATCCTCAAACCGAACCGCGATGAGCATATCCTTGTACACATCAGCCACATCACCTGTGACAGTTCCAGACTCCACAAAACAAGATTGTGGGATCTCTGTAGGAAGATGTGTGTGCGCGTCCGAGCTTGCCGTTGACGAGACGGAGACGAGCGAATCAGATACTGAGCCAGATAAGCATCCAGAGCATTCCCTCGATGCTGATAAAGAAGCTGTTGCAGAGGAACCGGACTTCTTGTCCTTCGCCGAACCGTCGCTCGCCTCCTCATCTTCCTCTCCGCTTTGGTCTGGACCATCACACTCATCACCATCATCAGTCGACTGCTCGTTCCCTACTTGATCACTCTCTGTCTCTTCATCTGGACTGCAACCTGCAGGGTATTTTACTTCATCCTGTCCCCGCAACCCCGGCAAACCCCCATATCTGTCATTACATCCACGTGTTCGCATGCTACAGTAACTCCTGGGATCATGATTTTGTACAGACAGTCCCCCTACTCCCCCAACAGACCTGGATGGACATAGGCTCATATCTACAGTTTTCCCACCCTTCCTATACTCAAAAGAAAACTCAGGCTCCATGGTGCGATCCCTTGCTTCTCTTTGCCCCGTTTTTTCACGAACTCCTGGAGGAAACCACTGTTGTGCTGATCGTCCATTGCCCAAGACACAACCGTCAGAGACTGGAGATCGACACTCGCGCGACCGCCTTCGGCGCCTCAAGGTATAACATCCCCATGCGTCATTCCTTTCACTTGCCTCAGACTGCATCCAACCCCGTGGGGAAGATGGAGGGGTGAGGAACAATTCAGGATCAGACTCGATACAATCCCTCTCATCATCAAAGTCTCCTTCATCATCTCTCTCCCAACCACTTCCACTCTCTCTCCGGCTTGAACTGTCCATCCCCTGTCGGGCTTCAGAATACCATCCAATGTCACTCGGCGCCCTTTGATTACCCCCAGTCTCAAGATGAGATTTGCCAACAATGCATTGGCTCTGTCTGGATGTCACAGAGAGGAACTTCCCTCTGCCCGTGAACCCTTCACTACCTCCTATACAACTATTTGAAGCTAAAACACCCTCTCTAGCACCTACTCTATCAGCTATAGCCCTCCTATCCTGAGATCTACAATCCCTAACTTCGCTAATCCCTATAGCCCCTGAGTGGCCAGCGTCGTCTACATGTGAACTCAAGCGTAACGGCCACCCAACAGAACATGGAGTACTCACCACAGACATATCCCCAGCATTACAAACACGAGGGAGCCCCCCAACGCCCCTTCCATCACTTGATCTTGCTCTCTGCCCTGAGATAGAGCAGTCGCTCACTCCACTTAACTGTGCCCGAGCATCCCCTCTTCTCTGTTCACATGCCCACCTGCCCTGTCTATCCTCACAACGGCCCCACAATCGTTCCTCCTCATGATGCATTGCCACCTCTTCCTCGTCTTGCTCATCCTCCCAAGTGCGTTCATCCCTCCGGTCCTCCTCTTCCTCCTCTTCCTCCTCCTCTACTTCGTCCTCATCATACAGTACATTCTCATCATCACCATCATGACTACAATTGTCGCCATCCGGATCATCCTCTTTCTCATCATAACCATCATCGTCCTCGCCATCTTCATCTTCATCTCCTTCCTCGTCCTCTTCCTCTGGTCCTTCTTTTGCCATGTAGTACTCGTAAGCCTCGCCCAAATCATCAAACTCCCTTTTCTGCACAGTCCTTGCTTCTATCGCAAAGAACACTGGAGCTTGCAGCTCATTCACATAATTGATGCCACGGAAGTCGTCCCAGTCGACTTCAAATACCACACATCCATACAGGCCATGAGATGCCCGCTTCTTTCTGGCCTTCACATACGCAACTATCTTGCGCCCCATAGCCTTCAGCTTTGCTTGCGACATCTGCCTTTGACATTCCCATCCCGCTGAATCTTCCAGCTCTTTCAGCAGGGCCTTCTCTTCTTCCTTGATCCGATGTCTCCGCGCTCTCTCGAGTTTCCAATTAACAAAAGGGGATCTTCTAGACTGTCAAGAAAAACAACCCCCACGCACACTGACAATCAGCATTTCTGATCGAGCACGGTTTGCTTGGGTTGATTTGAAGTCCACATCAGTCATCGTTATTACGACTTCAAACCACACCTTGAGATATTCTCAGACTCCAACACGATCCCCATCTCCCTACCTACGGACTATAATACTTGGTCCTGCCAGAAAGTGCCTTACAGGCTTACACGATTTGAGACGAATCCGGAACAACAAAAAGCAAAGGGAAGGGAGAAGGGAATGAAGAACCACACGTCCACTCCCACCACCAGACAGCTGACTCACAAACTATCCGAACTTGGATTTGACTTCACAGGAAAACAATCAACAAATGCCATCAAATTAGTCCCATCCATAATACAATACCAAATAGCTTTCAAGAAAGGCCTTTAGGGACCTCAAAGCAACCTTGCTTCACAGGGGAAATCAAATTAGATTAGAAAATACAACGTTGGTCGACTGTATAAGTAGAATTTCGAACAGTTGGATTCGAACGACTGAACCAACAGAACAGGACATGAAGGTTTGAAAAGGAAAAAAAAAAACACTTGCCAAGCGTATGAGCGGCCACCTCCACAATTCCCTGGCATAGGAGCCAAAATGGAAACCTCAGAAACCCGTCACATTCTCTGGCGAATTTCAAGAATTCTAGGAGAACTCCACAGCAGGTTGCTTGCCTTTGCCCAGATCTCAAAATGGTCCAATCAGAGATGCCGGTGATACTAAGGACGCCACAAACTCCTTGCTGCTGCACTATCAAAACAACATGGTGAAGACACATAGAACACGTACTGCATAGCAGCCAGCACCTGAAAGTTTTGCACTTCCCTCCCAACCTGCCCGCGATCGACATCATCTAGCATAATCAGCACGTAGAAACTCTTGCTTCAGGTCATTGATGCCAGAACGCATGTGAGACAAATTGGATTCCAATCATTCCATGCCATAAAAGCACATCCATAGAGGCCCGAAGAGCAGACACGAAGCGTCTGCACTTCGTGCCCAGCATGTCTTTGCTGCATTCCGTGCCTGGAGCTGTGATGCAAGCCCCCTGGCGCTTATACGAGATGAGGCATCTCAAATCGGAGTCATTTTCGGGCAAGCATACCCTGCAGCCCTTCGGCCTTGTGCACTTAGGTGATCAGTACAACAGCCCAACAGATACTTCCGAACCCAGAATAGGTGAGATGCGAGAGCCACATTATCAAGCACCCATCCATGCATAGACCTCGGCGACCTGACCTTGTGAAACAGGAGGGCAAAAGAATAAGAATCTGCCACTTACTGAATTTGAAATTCCGAAACAGCCACTCGTTTAGAAATTGAAAATCATCACACACAGCATTTTTTACGGAACAGTCACTCGTTAGAAAATCATCACATATCTGACGCTCCCCAGAATGGAAATCGAGCCAGGGCCATAAGGACCTGTTAAAAATAAAAAAAAAGAAAAAGAAAAAAAAGAAAAAGAAAATCATCACATACAGCACTTTTTCCTAGAATACAACGAGGCATCATTTTTGAATGCCGCGCAGATAATGCAAGCATATGCGTCAAGCGTCGTTTCCCCGCTCCAAATACATCTTCTTCCCTCTCATACCTCTTGCACTTAGTCAACTTACCTGCATGAGAAGATACTGCCAAACCTCCACAGATTTCGATCGAGGCCCATCATCCGTCCATGGACTATTATCCACAAAAAATATAAGCTTCTGCAGGATATGAGAGACGTATATAAACAAGGTGCTGTGGTATGAAGTCATGTCCCTGCCAGGGCCAATGCCACCAAAAATGTTATACAATTATCGTTAGTAAATAAGAGCATAGAAGATCTGCTGATCATGGAAAACTACAGCGCACATCTTGGAGCTGTGCATCTCCCAAAATGCAGACATATGCCACTTGCTTTTGTCCTCACACATCTCTCAAAAGCTCTCCCAGATGGTCCAAAGAACACAAAGTGAGACTTCTCTCTGAAGTCAAACAGTCATCCTTCGACAGATGATGACACATTGCCGTCGTCTACGACCTCAAGGCGGGCAACACCAGAAGAAGAAGCAGGCCGTGCCCAGAATAATCCATCCTGATGAAAGAAATCTTATACAAATCGAGTTGGAGAGTCTTTCCAGCGTAATAACAAGCAACATCACAGACTCCCACAACTAGTTATAACTCATAAGATAGTCTCTCAGCGCAACCTCACACGCATGCCTTCCCAAGAAGGGTGGTTGAGAGACCACCTCCCTCGTTTCCACCAGAAAAAAAAACATGTATTTTTGGGCCATCTTCTCCTGTGGCAAGAGGACTTAGAGGACATGATTTGCTCAGAAATACGAAACCGTTCAGTGACTTTCAGTCTGATGTTGACTATCTGGTTCTCTCATCCAAGCTTTTCTTGCTATAGGGCAACATTCTCTGCAGTTTCAGTTCGTTTCTCTTCATCTTTCTCATTGTAGGAATGGGAGATAAATGACTGTGCACCAGGTATCTGGTTTACTTGTTACAGAACAAAGGCCTCTCAGATTTTGCCCTCCAGAGTCTGATTTGAGATCAGTCCAGACAGGTGATCTGGACCCGTTGAGGAATGCGGCTGGGAAGGGGAGGACAAAAGGATGAGAAATCGTTTCCCTCAAATTCCCCATACATCGGCATAAAACAATCAACTGGCTAGACTAGCAGCAAACCACAGAGTATTCGCAAGGTCCCCTAGTTATTTTGTGCTCGGCAACGCGCATTGCAGAATGTTTGGGATGACAACAGAGAACGAACGAGCCTTTTGGCACACAAGACCTTCGTAGGCAACTTTGGCGAAACATGAGCCTCTCCTAGAAGTAAGAAATTGCAAAATAGGATAAGCAATATTTAGCTTGTTGCCTAAAGATAGTAGTTCACACAAATGGGACCATGGGGACAGGACAGTCTTGGCTTTCTCAGCCATAATGGGAAAAACCATCAAGTGCCCCTTGCATGTGTTTCTATTCATTGCAACCGGAGAATGACCAGGCTGATGCCTCCCAGAATAAAAATTGCCTTAGCGATTTGGTTATAAGTTATAACGAGCAAAAACGGGAAAAAAAAAAGTAGGGTACATCCTGATAAAGCTCGTCACCTGACCAGCCCACATCCGATGCCTGCAGAGCCATTCACCCTGATTCTCAAATGCTTGTCACAAAAGACTACATGGGGGGTCTTACATTTGAACCCGTCCTTGCTGACGCTAATAGGGCGGTCCTCGGGCCCTTGATGTGCCATTTTTCCTCTCGCCATAAGTGGGTACAGAATATAGGAGCTCAGTCATGAAAGCTCTCAAATCTATCCTAGATACATCTACTGAATTTTGTTAAGAAAAGAAAAATAGGAAAAAGAAAGGCGTACTCAATTTCTCTAGAATGGGTTGATATCAATCAAGTGGCATTAGGTGCTCTTGTACCATACTTTTTGTTTTCTCTACCATTGGCCGTTGGAAAAGCAATACACCCCTGATGTGAATGAAGTTTGGTAGCACACTTCGATACGTAGGAGATCGCCTGGGCCCTGCTCGCCCATGTGCAAGGTTAATCTCAGCAAGCTGCCAGACGAGCAGGAGCCTTAAACGGCCAGTACACGGCCCCAGCCTTGTGGAGAAATCTTTCATCACCTATGAAAATTTCGGAGGCTCCAGGCTACCGGACTACAATGGCTGGCAGCGCCAGCCAAAAAGGAAACGAAGCCAAACCGCTGACCGTTCGGAAAAGCAGCTTGGCATGCAGTGGAAGGCCACCAGGACCGAGATGTACTGGTGGTTTAAGACCTCGCTCCATGGTCCTGCCCCACAGTTACTTCGACGATGAGGTAACAATAGGTATTACGCTAATCACAATGCTTAGCCGGTCACCACACCCTCACACCCTAAGAAGTGCCTCCAAAGAAACCCAGAAGGGGCACCTAGAGGCTCCTCAGGTGCCTAAAATGGAAGGAGACGTGCATTACCCAACTCAGGATGATCACTTGCCACTCTGTCAGTTTCCTCCGCTTTCCCCCTTACCCCTCTCCCCTGTTGGTTGTCTCGGTTTTTGTGATTTCCATCGCCACTCGGAAAATTAACATACAACAGACGAGGATCATAAAGGCTGCATCCTGTTTCTCTCACAGGTTGGACATACCGTAACAATGGCCACAGGGCCTTCATAACACCCCCCAGCTCGAAGATAGGGCCACGGGAACAGGCCCTTGCTCCAAGAAGCGCAAGACCGGTTTGAGCCACAGAGTACAGTGAAAGAAAAAAGAACAGGATTCTTGACAGATTGCCTCTGCCCTTCCCCAATGCTTACATAAGCCGTATGCACCTGGGCGCAGTCGACCCTGTCCAAACTCTGCACCTGCACAGGCAATCATCCACGTGCATTCCGACAGAGGCTTTACTTGAATGTGGAAACGGGAAAGCTGATGGCATTGAATCTCCTGCCACGCATTTCCAGTTTGCAGGATCAATCTGATGCGACACATCCTCTTTTAACCGTGTCTCAGCAAAGACGACAGATCATGCCTTGACTGTGGTCCCGATGGCCAGATGCAGGCATCCTCCACCCTTCAGCTGGCAATTCGTAGTGACGATGGCTAGGCATCCTTCTCCCTTGGGGGCAAAGAAGAAAGATTATGACTTCAGTGTGGTCATGATTGCACTGACAATTGTTCATCATGATGGACAGAAAGGGTCTCCGACATCCTATTCACCAACAAAAAG